GCCGCTGCAGCGGCACTCAGGACGCGAATAACGCCGTCGTTTCCGCGGGGCGCTCCGACCGAGGCTCCGACACGCCACACATTAGTTGTTGTCCGTTGTTTGTACGGAGCAGCGGCAGCAGCGGCGGGTAATTGAACCGCGGCGACCCGACAAAAAAAGACACCACCGCGCAATGATGAAAAAACAAAACAACGAAGACATGGCAAATGAAAATGTCGGTGAGAATTTCGCGCTGGCTGGCGCCATGCTGGCGCACTGGACGTCCAGCAGAGTGGGATGGCGCTGGGGCGGCCGGGGCAACGTGCCCGCGACGGGCTCCGGTGAATTTATAAAAACTCTCTGCCAGGACTCTGCCCGGCAGGAGCACTGGCTCCCGCTACCGTTGTTCCCACTCACCCCTCCGCCCCCTCTCTCTCCCCAACATCACGCCCGGGACCGGAGTTCTTTCGCGCGTAATATGAAACGTTGGTTCCACAAACGCGAAAACTTTGGCATCAGCAGACAGCTGCCGCTATGTAGTCGCCCCCGCGCGCCCCCTGGGCCGCACGCCAAACATTTCCATCACAAAGACAACACGGTCCCTGTCGGTCGCTGCCCCGGGCGGGCCGGGTGGGCTGCTTTAGGGAAGAGTGGGCGCGGAGCGGCAAATAAATCGCGTTGGGGGGCTGCCGCCAGGCTGCCGCTCGGTCAGGAGGAGACCCCATCACCCATCAGGTTGACGGGATGATGAAGTCCAAGAGGTGGCCTGGCGCGGCGCAGCCCGTCGCGCGGTCAGAGAGTTCCCTCTCTCTCCGCTTAGGTGTCCGTCCCGGAGGATCCTATTTCAGAACGCCACGCCACGCCACGCCGCGCCACGCCACGCCACGCCACGCCACGCCACGCCACGCCACGCCACGCGGGGGCGAGACGAGACGCGCGCACGCACTTGAGCGTTATGGCCCATAGGGAGTGGAAGGACAGCAGTAAAGCACGGCGCGGGGAAAACATTTCTCCTGCCCGCCTCGTGGTGTTCGAAATCCTCGACGCTCGCAGCCGCTCCGACGGATTCCACCGACTGGATCATGCGGATTCGTTGCGTACACGCCGCCTCGCGGCTCGGCCGTGTGTAACCGGGCACGCGCCGGAGTGTTGCGGGCCTGCCTAGCTCCCTCCGGTAAGGCGCCGTACGCCCTGCGGTCGGAGGGGTAGTCAAACTGACTACACCGCGGCGCGTTCACGCACATACGCCATATGGGTCCTGCGGCTACGCAAGCTGCTAGGTGGCTCGGGTGGCTCGCCCATATGGTTTTGAGGACTTTCTTCCTAGTGAATTTCATGGATAAAACATATTTTCTAAGTCAAAAACAAATCAGTACTAACCAAAGAAGCACCCACGCCGTTTCATATGATATCCGAAAGTTACCTTGAAACGAAAAGGAAGTGGTTGAAAGTCAAGAAGTGTGCATCTATTCCCACTTCGGAGGTGTCAGAGGTGCGCATTCATATCCCCGACCTGGCCCCGCATGTCGAGTGAGGCGCACTTTTTGCAGTGTCCCAGCGCCTTTACGCTTTACATCGCATTGGACGATAGAACACGGCCCCGTCTGCCTGACATGCCCACACCCGCCCCCAGGCTGAGGCTCTCGGTTCATTAGTTGGCGCAGCTGCTGATGGGGCGGTTCGGGCCGACACCCTCATGTTGTTGGGGGGCTTGTCCCTGTGCCTCCTGCCTCGCCCCCCCCCCTCTCTCTTTCTCTCTCTCTCTCTCTACCCCCGCAAGCCCATTCACTTACTCTCTCCCCTCGCCCGCCCGCCCCAACGAAAACCACACACCGTGTGGGTAGTCAGGCAGGCGGCGCCAAAGTCCAGCAGCAGCAGCAGTCCAGCCGCACTCGGCAGATAAGCCAAGCCGTTCCCTGAGGGGCCGGGGGGCCCTGCTCGGAGCTAGGGTCGGCTGGGGCGTGGGGCGCTAACCGAACCACCATCCTGCCAAAGCCCTTGTACATGCGTGTTGCCAGAGCCAGCGCCCCGGGCCGAGAGCCGGCCGGCAAACACCACCCAAAGCCCCCCTCAGCTAAGAGGCCAGTGAGAAAACTCCAGGCAATTAGCACCTCACAAACCTCCGGCCGCCTCGCTCCTCCTCGGACACAGGCCCGGCTCGTCCCGACAGCAGGGCTCGTAGATAAACGCCCAAACGGCGGAAAGGGAAACGCCACGATGAAGACCTAAGCGTTACTCTCTCATAAACAACATCTCCTTCCACCCCACCCTCGCAAGGCAGCAGGATTTGAATAAATCAAACCTACTGCTGCGGGGTTGTTATCAAGCCTGAAACGGCCGTTTCAGGCCTATCTCCGGCGCGCACTCCACCAGCCGCGTAGGTACGGGCTGGCGGTGGTGCAGGCGAAAATGTAAACTGGTTTTAATCAGAGAGCTCCCCTGCCACGCAGCTCGCGGCGCGGCACGGCTTTGCAGACCTGCGGAAAGAGCGATGAAAAGAGCGAGCAGGTCGTGACGACAACCCCTCACCTCACGTCCCTCCCCCATCCCAACGCGCCGAATTTGTGAAGTATTTCCATGCGCGGTGCTTTGCTGCTCGACATGAATGCCCCCCCCCCCGACATCCCCTCTCCTGTTTACGTCCGCCCTCCGCCGGTGTATGTGCGTGGCGACACACCTTCCTCGAAATAATAACGCGGAAGGGAGCGGCCGGAGCAAGAAGAACAGGTCCTCTGCCTCGTCCCCTGCGCAGCACGGCGCGGCGTCCGCCACGCTACGCCACGCCACTCCAGGACGCTGCGGTACACTCAGGCCTCAGGCAGGAGGAGCCGAGCTGGGCGTGCTGGAGCGCTGGAGCGCTGGAAAGTGCTAAAAAGGCGAAACACTTGGCCCCGCCCCGCAGCTCTAACGCCCTCCCCCGGGCGCCCCTCGCGCCTCCCTTCCGGGCTGTTTAGTCGTGGATGCGGGCGGGGCGCGGGGCGGGCGGGGCGGGAGGGTGCTGCGAGAGGCCCTGCGAGGGCTGCCCGAGGGGCTATGCCTCTGGCTGGGGGCTGCCGCCGAAACAGGAGCTGAAGGTGCCGCGCCGCGTGCCCTTGCGGCGGGGAGAGGGTGCGTGAACGGGGGCGCCTCGGACGCGGCCCCCGGTGTGGAGTAGCACCTGGCTGAGTCACACACCCCTGCAGAAGGGGCCGCCCCCGCTCCGCCCCCGCTCCGCCCCCGCTCCGCCCCCGCTCCGCCCCCGCTCCGCCCCCGCTCTGCCCCCGCACCGCCCCCGCCCCTTCCGGGGCCGACGCCAGCTCATCGGGGAGGCGCCCGAAAATGTTTGTCTGGCCTAAAGTCTAATACCACGGAGGGGCCGGGGGAGCAGGAGGAATACGCTAAGCTCCCGAATCCGCGCTTTCATGTTCTGCGGCGCCCGAGGGGAAGACGGCGCTTCATAATTTTGACAGCAGGAGACTTTTTTATGATTCGCTTTTGCACCTGCTGCTGCGGCAACGCCGCCGGCTGCTGGGAAAAAAGAAGATGTTGATGGGGCGAGGTTCGTTCGTTCCTTGGCTTCCTTCAGCCCTCGGCCGAGCCCGAGCCCTGCCATGGTCCGCTGGCCTCCGACCGGCCCGGCCTACGCGCGCGAGCCATCGTCCTCGTGGGAGCCTCGCGGCCCCTGCCGCCTGCCGGGCCGGCCCGCGGTCCGGTCTGGCCGGCCCATGAGGTGAGCGTGGCGCGCCAGCCGCGTTGGCCGCTGCACTCCGAGCCGGGCGACAGGGAGGGTACCCACACGGCCGCATGACTGATGCGCTCCAGGGTCCCGTGACCCGCGGCCCGCGGCAGCTCGGGGCCCACGTCGCCGGCAGCGAATAAGGAGAGGGGTCTGTGGCCAGCGGCCCCGCCGCGCCCCGCCAGACACATGGACCGCGGCACGTCCCCCCTGAGCTCCACCCCGCCGCCAGGTTTGGCAGGGCCCCGCCGCCCCCGCCCCGCGGGCCCCGCGCTCATGATCGCCGCGCGGACGAGATGAGGCCCCGGGCCCACTTTGGAGAGAAAGCCAAGCCGCGGGCGCCGCGTGGTGCGTTTCCGGCAGATGATGCACCTATAGCGGTGACGAGGCTGAGCAGCCCGCGGCGCCCGCCGTTGTTGGACTGCACCGCGACATGCACGTCTGCGGGCGGGTTGCCTACCCGCTTGCACCCTAAAGGCGCCCTGGCCAGACAGTGTTAGACACGTGTCGTCGTGTCGTGACCGGGTACGATCTAGTATACTTTAGGCGTGCTCGCGGTTTAGTCTAGCTCCGATTGTGTACGGGGTGAGTCGCCCACCGGGTTTACATGCGGCTATGTGGCGCTTCCGCAATTTAATAGAGGTTCTGCCGGTAAGCTTAAAAACCTGTAAGATTTTTGTACAATCCGTTTTTGCCAACCTCCACCAATCCAGCCCTAGTGCTATTATAGGTCTGACTGCGTGCCCCGAGTTATGAGGAGGTCCAGGTCCCCATAAACCTTTTCAAAAGCTGAAAAAAAGTTGCGGGCCCAAACCGTTAGCAACCCCTGCCCTCGCGCGTGTGTTGCGCTGCAATGCAACTACGAAATCCGACGGCTTTTCCCAGACACCTGGTGGTCCCGGTAGGCCTCTATTGACTAGACTTGAGCGAACCTAACGTTGCCCCGCTGCGCGTTACTTCTCATACTCGAGACATCCGACTCCAGCCGCGGCGTGATGATGAGGACTTATGTGAGCTCGGAGGCCAGGGGACTTGACTCGTCATGAAGGGCTTCCAAAGGGCGTGTCATGTAATTGTGCGGCCGCCTGCCCCTCCTGCTGGAAGCCCTCTCGGCTCTCGGACGGCCTGCCCACCGCCCCTGCGCCCCCGGGGCTCCTCGGGGACGGCTCGCGGTGGCGAAGGGGGCGAGGCAGGGCCCCATGCCCCCGAGCAGCACGGGAGGGAAAGCGATTTACGCCCAAAGTTCCCCACCCACCACCACCACACCAACACGACCACTAAGTTGGTAAGAGAAATTGTTACTTACCACGGTGCGGGGGAGCAGGTTCCTGATGCGGCAGACGAGCTGGCTCTTGCGGAGGCATATCCTCGTCCAGTCCGTGGCCTCGGCCTTGGGGATGGCGTAGGAGGCGAGCGTCTCGCTGACCCAACGCTTGGCCTCGGACACCTTGACGTGTACCCGGTTCAGCGCCACGTCCTGCTCCTCGGCCTCGTCCGCCAGGTCGATGCTGACGAGCGGGTCGCGCTCGCAGCGCCTCCCGGACACGAACACGCGCAGCGGCAGCGAGTAGTAGTCGACGGGGTCGGCGAGCGCGGTCGAGTCCACGTGCAGCGTGAACAGGTTGGGGTAGTAGACGGCCGTGCAGTCCAGGAAGTGGCGCAGGCTGATGCGCCCGCTGTCGGGGTCCACGCGCAGGAGGCGGTGCACGAAGGAGGCGCTGCGGTGGTTGTTGATGGAGTAGGTGCGGGCCCCGCGCCCGCCCAGGGACGCGTTGAACAGCACATGGCCGGGCGGGTCGTCCTCGGTCGCGATCAGCAGGTAGGCCGCGGTGAGCCGGCAGGCCACGGCCGCGACCACGACCAGCAGGGCAAGGACATGCCTCATGCTAACCGGCCGCTGCTGGAACAGGAGGGAGAGTGTTGTAGGCCTCGGCCGTGTGCACGGAGGGAGCCATGGCTGTGTTGTTGTTGTGCAGGCCTCGGCCGTTCGCTGAGGTAGGCAGGGGCTGTCACCACCAGCGCTCACATCTTCTCTTATTCCACTTCACATCCACCCCTCCCCCTTTCTCTATGGGTGACAGGCCATGCCTCGGCCACACAATCGCTCGGGACGCGGTCAGGAAGGGGCTAAAGGCCGGGGCCGGGTTCGGGCAGAGACGTGGAAGAGTAAAGGAAAAGGACTGGCGGCGGACGAGACAAGGCGGAGTCCCGGAGAGCAGCGCGCTGCAATTTTTTTCCCCGCCTTATCCGCCTCGTCCGGGGAGATTGTGCGGGTCTTTTGGAATTACGATGACGTTTCACATGTTTCACTGTCAGCCCCTCCCGGCCCGGATGGAGTGCGTGGCAGTACACAAGGGTGGATCACGTCGCGCAGCGGAGGGCAGGGGCGAGGGGGCGGCACAGGGCTTGCAGCACAGCGCACGGGCCCGCGCTCGCGTGGCATTTACAAAGAAGTTGTCGGGATTTGCTCCCGGCAGGGGCGCCCAAACGGGGGTCAAGGTGGGTCGGCCGACCCACCTCAAAATCCCGAAAGGGGAGGTGGAGGAGGAGGGAAAGGGGAGGTAGGAGGAGAGGAAAGGGGAGGTGAAGAGGAGAGGAAAGGGGAGGTAGAAAGGGAGGAAAGGGGAGGAGAAAGAAAAAGAGGAAGAAAAAAGGGAGAAGGAAAGGGAGAGAAAGGAAAAGAAAGAAAGGGAGAAGGCGGAGGGAGATATGTAGAAGGGTCTATTTACAATTCGTTAAGGTCCGTGGTCGCTAACAGTTTTACCCTACAACACTGCTCCAAAAAACCAATCCATTGGGCTCATGTAAACATTCCATTTGTAAGCGACCTAATGTCCGTCCACATGTGCATTTGTTTCTCTGGAAGCGAAAGAGGTAATACCCTAATTTAGTTAGGGTGTGGGGTAGGAGTACATCCCGCTATTTTTGCTCGATTTTGGCGCGCTATAAAACCGAATTTTTTTCGCGCTCGCTACGCTCGCGGTCCTTTGATGGGGGAGTGCGTAAATTCTGCTTCAGTGCAGCTACCTGTTTTTACGGCTGTTTTATAAGATTTATTTAAGCGCTCAAAATATCATCTTCGTGCTCCTATGCCCCAAATTTTTTTCGCGCTCGCTACGCTCGCGGTTTTTTGATAGGGAAGTGCGTAAATTCAGCTTCAGTGCAGCTCCCTGCTTTTACGGCTGCTTTATAAGATTTATTTAAGCGCTCAAAATAGCATATTCGTGCTCCTATGCCCCAAAATTTTTTCGCGCTCGCTTCGCTCGCTGCTATTACGCGCTGTTGCAATGGAGGGATTTAATATTAGGGCATCTGGTACAACTCCTAACTGCTGCTGTTCGGTGACACGGAAATGGTCTGGAAAAACTGTCCCTCCCGGGCTTAAATAACATGATCTCAAAGTCTACTATGCGCTATATCTAGCAAATATTTAGAGCTCAAGCAAAAAAAAAACATACTTTTTAAAATAAATGCAGCGTTAGATTCTTCATAGCGTTTCGCTCCTTTCCGCATGTCTAAAAGACACAGGAACAACATAAAATTGTAATGGTAAGAAAGCATAAAAATGCAAAAATAGCCCAATAAAACAAGTAAAATGTTTCTATCATTTATCAAGCAGTAAGTACACTCGAGTGCCTTGCCTCACTGGGTCTGGCATCTGGCCCTTTCTCCTTAAGACTTAAGACTCTTGTCGCGTCGGTCACGGAGGTAATTCGTTTCCGTCCAGAATTTTTCTCGCTCGCTTCGCTCGCGATTTCTTTGATCTTTAACGATCTTTCTACTGTGAGCCGTCCAAAACCAAACCGCTACACGAGTGTCGTGTGTCTTTGTGTTTTGTGTAGTGAATAGCATAACAGAAGTACTGAGTCGTTTCGATATTTGCAAATTTTGACTGATTAATTGCACCTGCCTCCTGAGAGATAAGCAACTTAGTAAGTACCATGACGGTCCCGTATAACCACCATTCACCTTTCACTAGATCTGTGCATAAGTAGAGTAACTTAGTATGTATTATGTATTAAGAAGAAAAAAAATGAAAGGGGAGGTCAGATGATGAAAAGGGAGGGTGTCAGCGTACTCTGACCCACCTCGGCGAAATCGTTTGGGCGCCCCTGGCTCCCGGCGTCGTGTGTGGGTGGGAGCGCCAGGGTGAGCAGCAGCGCCGCCCTCACAATGCGCGCCAGAGCCACGCGAGGAACACGACAGCGAGAGCGTCGTGAGCCCCCCCGAACAATGCGGAAGTTGCACGGGTTTGTACGAGGGCTGCGCGCGGTGCAGTCAGGAGTGTGGCGCTGCCCCCGCGTGGGACATCCCACACAATCATGTTGTTTCGCCTGTTCCCTGTTTCCCTTTATCATGTTGATTTTCTTTTTCAATAAAAATAATAGACTCGGTCGGTGCCGTTTCACCTGGAGGGGGGGGGGGGGGGGGAAAAACCCCGGGGGGGGGGCCCCCGGGGGGGGGGGGGGGGGGAGATAGCTACACGGAGCGTGGCGCCGCGTGGCGCTGGCGGGGCGGAGCGATGCGTAGACGCGCTGCTGTTTGAAAGGAAAGCAAGTCACACTGGTTTGCGGTCGCAGGGGAGGCGGAGGGAGCGCGGGGAGCGGGCAGGAGCCGAGTGAACAGGAGCCGATGGCAAGAGAGACCACTTCGTTTATTACGGGACCGACTACTCCTCGGTCGACCTGCCGAAGCCTCCCGATGTCGAACAGTAAAATGGTCAGGCGATAAAGTTGTCACC